TACTCCTGACGATAAAATGTTTTTCTAACATTGTTCCACACACTCACACACACACACACAGCTACCTGAGGCTTGTCTCAACCTTGCAACGATGTTTTTATTCTCCTATTCCCGTTTTTATATACCTCATTACTATTTTAAAACGCTCCCCCCCCCTGGGAAGCTTTTTATCTGAACTCTCTTTGTCTATGCGGGATGCATGTCACAATGTGTGCACAAAGTTTTTCTCCATCCTCTCGTATTCTCTCTCTCTCTTTCTTTCTTATCTGTGTCTGTTCTTTGTAACCATCTTGCCCGTGTATCATGCAATAAGAGGTCCCTTTTTTTGCAAGTATACTACTGACTTGCTCATGTTGCCGGTATGTATTCGTACTCCACTCTGTCTACTGCTAACCTGACTTCCCCTGACCACTGAGTGCATTTTGGTGTTGAACATTGAACAGATATTATCACGCAATCACACACACACACAGAGCAGAGCAGAGCAGAGATTTGGTGCTCCTAAAAGGCACCTGTGTGAAGAACTTATATCCAAATTGATTGAAGTATACATATATATTTTTTCTTTCCGGATGAATTTAGAACAAAATTATATCGCCCTGTCGTTCCCGATTGGACTCCCCGTTTCAGAATCATTTCAATCCAATTTAATTTAGTTCAGTTCTTACAACCATTAGCCATGCACTTTCGTGTGCCGGTTTTGATCGCTGTTCTTTGGTTGTGACTGTTCACGATACCCAGCGATCTCGCTCAGTGTCTGTAACCATGAACATTCATAGGTCCTCAACCAGGGAGCCTAACGGATCCTATTTGACCCAGTCTCCTGGTTAGGTTTTTCATACCCTTCTGCCAAGTCTTCGTTTGACCACCCTTTACGCTTTTTTCATCCAACGCCTGCTACGACAAACATCGCTCGGCATGGGAACCTATTAGGTGACATGCGTAGCACATGTCCCAACCAGCGTAGTCTATGGTGGTCGACTACTTGCTCCAGTGGACGACCGCGATTACCCAAAACTCTACGACTAACCCCAGAATTGCTCGTTTGGTTTCTCCGCCAGACTCTTGTAATGCGACGTTTTCGAACACCGACGATCTCTTTTTATCTTGTTCTCATAAGGGGTTAAGTCTCTGCACCGTAAAGCAGCACTGCCTGAACTGCTGCAGCGTTTGCTCAAGCCTTCACAAATAACTCGATGTCTCGACGGTGCCACAGATGCCGCGAGTTGGCAAATGCCAACCAAGCCTTCCCTACGCGCGCCAACATTTCATCTGTGATGCGTCCGCCAGGTGAGATATAACTGCTGAGATAGCGAGATGTGTCTACTTCCTCTACTAATTCCTAATTCCTACTAAGTCAGGGTGAAACTAGATTCTGGATCAACCCAATCTTGTAGCAGCATTTTACACTTTGAAGGTGCAAAACACATACACTAGCACTTAAACTACCCCGAAAAGGTTGCAACTTACCTGGATCTTCACTTAGTAGCACAATACCGTCTGCATACTCCAGATCAGACAGTCTACCATTTGGGAGTAAATCGATGCCTGTATCTTCGCACGAATATAGGGCTGTCTCCATAAGCAAAAATCTGTAACGACATTAAGTAGAAACGGAGTGAGAGGGCAACCCTGACGAAAACCACTTTTCCTGGTGACCTCGGGTGAAAACGTGCCGTGAGCTCGTACTCGTCTTCGGAAATTAGTATGAAAGGATTGCAATATTGAAATAAACTTCTCTGGTACACGTTTTAGGACGAGACAGCGCCAGATGTTAGAG